TGCACAGCACAGCAAACAGCTGCATCACGTGCCTGGCCACAGGGCTGTCGGGCGCTACATCTGCCGGCACCTCGAGAGCTTTGGGAGAGTGACCCTGCCGTGAGAGATGACTGTGCACCTGTCATTAAGTAGAAAGTTTTACTCCAGCAGTTGGGTCACTGGGACACTTGACAACTAGAATGGGATGCACTGGTTTACCTGTGTGTTGCAGGTATAACAGTACTGCTTGATTCTTCCAGGCTGCAGTTTGGGGTCTGGCAGACAATGAAGACATTCATACTTTGCCAAACACCCACAGATGAAGCATTCTCTTGGAGCTGTTGCAGAAAGTAGGTGGTTCATAAGCATCTTTTAAGTTCATCAAGAAACACTGTATTTAAAACTATGCTCACATTGCCTGCTGGAGTGACTCGTATCCAAATTTTTTCCCTCCAAGTGACTCAAATCTGATCTTTTCACTAATGCGTTTACAAACCAAATTGAATTTTTTCTATATCAGATCAGGGCCACTTCTATGTGTGATACTAGAACCAATTCATATCCAATATTTGACAATGCAATTGCTGTCAGATCAGAATTCATGTTTTGTTTTGTTTTTTTGAGATGCCTCACTCCTCTGCATATGTCAGCACCTGTCATCATTTAGTATCGGCCCCTCACAGACTGGTTAAAAAAAAAAAAAAAAAAGTGGGGGAGAGCAACAACAGTGATGAGGCTCAGTGGAGGGATGAGAATGTTTTTACATTTATGGAGTAGCTTTTGTTCAAGCCAAAATGAAGAAACATATTGTAACTGAGCCAATTTGAGGGAACTGTGCAATTTGACCATCATGCAAATGAAATCATTGGTGTTTTGCTTGTACACATGTGGCTCCCGCTTAAGTTAAATCTGCATATGTGGCAATTTAGGATGTTTACAGTGTTCAAGTCAGAGCAGGATATATATCACTTAAGAAATATGAATGTAAAACATCACCACAAAAAGATTGGAATTAAGCATTAAGGCCTGTAATGTGAGTGTAGCCAAAGAAAGTATTCCATTCACATGCTACATGATATGAATCAGTGCACATTACATCTGTTGCTCACAGTTGTATAGAAGGTCTGTGATGTCCAGCTCAGTGGTAGGAATGATGTAAGGAAACATCTTATACTTGTTTCCACACCTTGGCATCTGGACCATTAGACAGGACGGCATCTGAGGGAAAAATAGAGATGGTAATATTGGAGTCACATGAGTGTACACAGGAAGCATGAACAACCCAATGTAAACCTCTTTGCCTAGTAATCAGAGCACTCACATCTTCAAACTTGAGGTCACCTGACAGGCAGGATGTATCCAGCAGCTGCTGGACGGAGGGCATCGGCCCCATCTGCCCTTTTTCTAGGAAAATCTGGAAGGTGTAGGCACCCTGAGATGTTTGCCGTCTTGACCTGAGAAGAAACAATTTCATTTAACTGAACTTTACAGTCAGATAGGATGAGATATTTAATACAGGGTGGCTCCGTTTTGTACCAGAGTTTCAGCAGTGGCTCCACACGAAGCACCTTCTGAAAGAGCACTGTGATAAACTCCTCTGGGTCTGCAGTGAAGAAAAAACAAAACCATACAGTACTGTAAAAGTAGGCTTCACTGTGTTATAATACAATACTTCAGCAAGGTATGTTACAAGATGTACAGTATGTGCACACCTTTTTCCTCCGTGCGGAAGGTGTCGCAGCCAAGCTGTTTACGGAAGTTCATCACACTCTCAGCGGGCACAAACCCATGCCTGCAGTACATTAGTTATCAGTATGCAAACAAGAACTTGCAGTGGAAGAGCCAAGTAAGCAGAAAGACGCACCTTTTTAAGTAATCACATGTTCGGCATATACACTTTTGTGTTAGCAAGGGAATACAGAGTATTCATATCATTAAGATGGAGAACCTGTTTCCCAGTTGACATGATGTAAAATGTCAAAAAGTTCTTGTTTTGCAAACACTAGATAAACAATCAACAGTGGTTATACCTGCGTAAACAGTTGACTATTTTTCTCAGGGTGCAGGTTATGGGTTGCTCCTTGGCAGCAGGCTTGTGGCAGATATTATCCAGGGTCACGGATGAGCTGAACAAACTGGAGAGAGAAAACCACACAGTTGTGTCAGCTCATTGCTTATCTGCATGTAGTTCACCATGGCACACGATCTCCTTGAAGTAAAACTATATTATGTGAGGTTAGAGATGAGCTGAGTGTGTAACAACATGCTAGATGAGAATCAAATGCCCTGAGGGACAGTGACCTGCTTTTACCTGAAGAGTGTGGCATCAAGGTAACAGGAGTTAATGTGACCCTGAATCCCCTTCATTTTTCCCACTAACAAAGACAAGGCCTCTGACTCTGGGATAGGTGGTGCATCATCCCCGGAGTCCTCAAATGGAGGAACTGAAAACAGCAGCAAGCAAATACACAAAAACAGATGCCTATTAAATTACATTTAACACAAGCCTCATCATTTTACTAGCAATAAAGAGCTTAAATGTAGTCCAACTGGATATTGGATATTAGATTCATCTGCTCTGAAGCAGAGAGTTCACAGGAGTGTCAGCCACGTCTCACTGATATAAACGTCACAAAACCAGGTATTGTTTCAGATGACATTGACATTTCACTTCAGTAAACCCAACCAGAGGCAGAAGGGTGCAAAAAATAAAGTCAGATAAACCAATCATAAAGCAGGACTTGTCATGGTTTTCATTTGTGTTCAACCCTAGTGGGACACTTCTGCTACAAGTTCCCAAACTTGATTTGTGAGGCTGTGTGACTGTTATCACGGAATAACAAACATCTCTTCTAATGTTGTATGTGATAACGTTACATAATACTGGCGCCCGGATTTAAAGTTCAGACTTTGCACTTTGTTTTATTTTGCACTAACACTAGCAACATATTTTACCGTGTGAATCATTTTATATGAAAATACCAATAATATCAAATGTGTAATTTGAACTACTTGTGTAAGTGTGTCCCATCAAACTAGGAGAAGTGTCTAACCTGGAGGTGTTTTGGAGGGTTTTGAGGTCCCCGTTCCTGAAGAGCAGAAAAACCTTCTATCGGGGCTGCACTTTGTGACAGGAACAAACAAAGCCATGTTCCCCTTGCATGTGAAATATCTCTGGTTTCTATACGTCCCATCAGAGCAGCCGTTCACCTCATAGTCCTGAAATGATGAAAACCAAATCAGACGTAAGCTGTGTTCGATGCCTAAAGCCAACACAATTTATAATATGCCCAAAATTGTAGTCTCTCACTAGTTCGATCCCAGCCCATTCATCAGTCTTCCCTACAAGGACCCCCAGCCACCGGATGACCCCGTACACTGTGATCCCTGAGTTGGACATCACCTCCACTATGGATCCCACCTCCAGAGGCACATGAGCTGTGCTGGTACTTTGGCTCTGAAGGATGCTCTGCTCTTTATGGTTTTCTCCCACTTGTCCTGCATGAGATTCAATACTGGGCATGGAGTCAGTGCATGTCCCTGCTTTTCTGGTTAGACCTGCAGAGAGGTATGGAAGGTGGGGCAGCTGATTGTTAGAAAGTCTTATGACAGCTTTGTTGGGCTTGTCACATGAATTTGTCACACGAACTTGTCACATGCTACATCATCAAGCTAATGACTACATATAAGGTATGCAGACAGCTCTGAGTGCACAATGTGCACCAAAAAAAAAAAAAAAAAAAAGCCAGAATCGTGATAAGTCTTCCAACACGCCAGAACAAACGCACTGGTTTTTCTAGTTGTGAAGGGAGACCACTTCTTCTGCAGCTGCATCTGTTTGATCAAAACTTTGAATGGCAGGTATTTTATTCAATGATGGAGGCGTGGGGTCAAAACTGGTTTTATGAACCAAAAAAGGATAATGTTTGATTTTGAAAGAAGGATTTCATTTGATAAAAATCAAGGGTACATCAAGTCATCCTGTGGTTCAGAAATACCCCATGCCAACTCCGAAAGAGACAAACAAGCTGCGATTTCAACCACTTTACTTACCCTCACTTTGTCCGTCTCTCCAGTGCAGAGCAAGTGCGGTGTAAGAAGGCAACACCTGGATAATGTCTGCAGCACTGAACAGAGACAGAGGAGCAGTTTTCTTGGATGACAAAGTGTGATTACTGTCCTATAAGGAAGAATAAAAAAAACAGTTAATGGCAAGCAAATACAGACATGTAACATTCCTATGTATTCAGATGTAGCCTACACAAGGTATATTTTGAGGTTTTAGCTTAGAAAGCTACAGTTTACTCTGCTAATCTTTCGACTGATAACCTTTTCTAAAAACACATGGGTCACTGATGTGAGGCTTTATTATTAGTTTCAGAGTAACCTGATAATTCTAAGCTTCTGCCACAATATGTTTGATCCAAGACACACACACACACACTTTGATGCTGCAAATGACAAACTTTACCCACCATGAGCTCCACCTCAAAGCCAAGCATGTGCAGGTCATCATTGTTCTCCTTCCTCCCAATCTGCATCAGGTTTTTCACCATCCCAGGCAGGTTTCCCTTTTTGTGCTTCACCACCACCAGGTCGTCCTGAGACAGCTCACAGATGGCTGAGAACAGCTGGCGGTTACACAGCAGCTCTAAGCGCTTACTTGCGGAGAAAATGAAGAGCAACAGCTTGGCCTGGTGACGCGTCAGAGGGTACGTGTCCTCTCTGTTCACGATGCCTCCGGTCTTGGGGCTCCCTGCGTTGTTTCCAGCTCCGTACAGCAGCACCATGAGCTCTCCGTGCTGCGTCTCTGTCTCCACACGGCCGATAGATCCCCGGGTGAAGCCTTTCTTCGACCTCCCGCGTATGACGATGAAAAACTCTTCCTTTACTACAGTTCTGGGCTCCATTGCAACCCCTAATTTCTACCAGTATCTTCTGTTAAAGTTGGGTTTTTTCATATATCGTACCTACAGACGCAGGTGACCTATAGATATACAGCAGAAGCACAACGTTGTAGCCTTAAACATTTTCTGTCTATGGTTATGGTCTCTGAACTGGAAAAATAAAATAGATTACACAAGATCCCCCCCAAATAAAATCACTTGTTGTTTAACTGCATACTACTATAAAACAGATATAAAGGCTTTACTAGTATTAAAAACAATTCTGAAACAAATGGCTAACAAAAGAAACAATTAGACCTATATAACTTTCTAAAGGTTAGACTGAAAACGGGATTACCTACTCCACCTCTTTAAACAAACAAAACCGATCTAGTTAAATTTGCATTTAACTTTAAAACACTCAGTTTGTAACGTGTTAAGGGAACCATCGTCTTACTTACTGATCTTATTTGTCGAGAGCATTTACACCACGGGCTGCTCCACTGCCGCCGGCCTAGATGACATAATGGCAACCAAACGCAGGTAACACCGCTTTTTCTTGGCTCCAAGGGGAGTACGCGTGATTATTTGCATGCATTTAAATTCTGACCTACGTGTGACCGACAACACCCACACGGCAGCTCAGATCCTCCGCCCTCTCTGTGAGATTTCCGCAATAACTCGTTTATTGTGGGCTTGATACGACAAAGGTGGATGTGGCTGGCTTCATCTTGTGGTTTTCAGTTTTACACGCCATTTAAACTATCAGGATGCACAGATACCAGTAAACTCGCACAAAAGTGTAAATGAATGCGCAACAAGTGTCCAAAAATTGTGCTGATCAAGTTAATTCAGTCTTCCCCAAAGCGAAACATTCCTTCTCCAGTACTTCCCGGATGTTAGTAACGCAATGCCCATAGACCTAGTTATGGGTGTAACGCTTCCTACATACAGTAGCCTTTATAGCAATATGTCCACTGTTGATCTAGGCTTAGGCTGTTTGACTTTAGCTGTCAGAACTGATATGTTTATTGTACGCTTATACTAGAGCCGAGATTTTAATTATCACTGCCGTTGTCCCCAGTTTGTTTTGCTCATCCATTGCAGGACTCTTATTTCTAGACTAAGCTTCACCTTGTCATTAGATTTGACATTAAGCATAAAAACCTCAAGCTCAGTTTCTCAGAACATAGTGTGATGAACAAATCTTTATTTCCTGCTCACTGAGGCTTCCTTTTAATCTTAAGGCTACACAGGAGGTCATCATGCCACCATGATGATACCTCATGACTAGAATATTACTCATCTACGGCTGTGAAGACACAGAAGCAGCGGATAGTGTAAGATGTTGACAGTAACCAGCGACTCTGGTACAATGTTGCGAGTCAAGTTTCTACGCATCCAAACTTAAGGTGTGACATGAAAGTCAAAGTGCTTCACAATAAAGACAAATCACATGAAGACCAGGGCAGCAGACGCCCTGTGACAGTCGGTATGCATGTCTGACAGTATCTGGACTGCTCATCGGATTTACACAACAGCCATTAAGAAATACAAGTGTGGAGCTCAGTTGTGGTTGTTCCTTTAATAGGTTCTTAAGACTTTAAAAGAAAACAGTTTACCTTCTGTAACAGAGTGTACGTATTAGAGGACTGCCCTCTGTTGGCTGGTGAGCACAATAACAGAAGGGCAAACACTGGAGAACCATCACCATACGTAGTCTACATGAGACAGTGTGAGACAACAAGTTTAATGCCATGTCCTTGGAAAATATCAAGCTCGTGAGAACTATAATGGACCATCAGATAAAGGTATTGCTATAGCTTGAATGCTATTGTTCTTCCTCAGGATCCCCAGGACAACAGAGTGAGTCTTCATCCTCTGAAACACGTGGCCGCTTTCATTCCAAAACTGCACGCTCTCTTCTAGAAACTCAGCTGAGGAAGGAGAATTTGGATAAATGGGAAATAATAAACACAGACATCAACTACTGAATACTGTGTCATATACAGTACTTACGATCAACAAGAATTTGGGGATGGACTTCTTCCAGCGAAAAGCCACCACACTCATTTTGGTGGGACAGTCCACTGCTCAACACCTACACCACATTAAAAATACACACACACACAGTAAATATTTTGACATTAAAAATTCTAACATCTTTCACTGAATCAGAAGTCAGAACTCTTTGTAATATAAACTGATCAAACCTGGGTGACTGCACTGAAGCTCCGCTGTCCACCTTTACTGCTTAGTGCCATGTGGAGCCCACATGGATGCCAGGCTGGCACCACTACTGTGGGCATGAGAGATGACAGGGGCCTCTTTCCTGGCTGAGCCATTTCTCCCTATGACACAAATGAAATATGTGCAAGTCAACACAATCTAACCGGCTGAACTTACTGGGTGATATTTTCTGATGGTAATGCACCTGGTTGGTCTGGAGTTGCCCTCTGGTTGCATTTGGCAAGGAGAAGAGAAGGATGAGGCTGTTGAGAATAACACCTGATGGAGTCATGAGTCTGCTCCCGAATGGTCTGCTCAGTGAACTGCAAGAGACAGACATAAGGACAAGAGATGAGAAAAGAACGTGACCGTGCCCAGCAGCACATACCACACATCCTCCCGCTGTGATCATGGGTCAAGGCAGATGGCCGCTCACCAGGAGCCTGGTCCTGGCAGGGTTTTCCTATATAATACTCTAAGGTCTTGACCTTACTATGTAAAGTGCCTTGAGATTACTTTTGTTGCGACTCAGTGCTATACAAATACAGTATTGTTCAAAATAATAGCAGTACAATGTGACTAACCAGAATAATCCAGGTTTTTAGTATATTTTTTATTGCTACATGGCAAACAAGTTACCAGTAGGTGCAGTAGATTCTCAGAAAGCAAACAAGACCCAGCATTCATGATATGCACGCTCTTAAGGCTGTGAAATTGGGCAATTAGTTGAAAGGGGTGTGTTCAAAAAAATAGCAGTGTCTGCCGTTGACTGTACAAACACAAAACTATGTTGTACAAACGTTTTTGTTTCTAGGATTTAGCAATCCTGTGAATCACTAAACTAATATTTAGTTGTATGACCACAGTTTGTTATAACTGCTTCACATCTGTGTGGCATGGAGTCAACCAACTTGTGGCACCTTTCAGCTGTTATTCCACTCCATGATTCTTTAACAACATTCCACAATTCATTTACATTTCTTGGTTTTGCTTCAGAAACAGCATTTTTGATATCACCCCACAAGTTCTCGATTGGATTAAGGTCCGGGGATTGGGCTGGCCACTCCATAACATTAATTTTGTTGGTTTGGAACCAACACTTTGCTCGTTTACTAGTGTGTTTGGGGTCATTGTCTTGTTGAAACAACCATTTCAAGGGCATGTCCTCTTCAGCATAAGGCAACATGACCTCTTCAAGTATTTTGACATATGCAAACTGATCCATGATCCCTGGTATGCGATAAATAGGCCCAACACCATAGTAGGAGAAACATGCCCATATCATGATGCTTGCACCACCATGCTTCACTGTCTTCACTGTGTACTGTGGCTTGAATTCAGAGTTTGGGGGTCGTCTCACAAACTGTCTGTGGCCCTTGGACCCAAAAAGAACAATTTTACTCTCATCAGTCCACAAAATGTTCCTCCATTTCTCTTTAGGCCAGTTGATGTGTTCTTTGGCAAATTGTAACCTCTTCTGCACATGCCTTTTTTTTTGCCTTATGCTGAAGAGGACATGCCCTTGAAATGGTTGTTTCAACAAGACAATGACCCCAAACACACTAGTAAACGAGCAAAGTCTTGGTTCCAAACCAACAAAATTAATGTTATGGAGTGGCCAGCCCAATCCCCGGACCTTAATCCAATCGAGAACTTGTGGGGTGATATCAAAAATGCTGTTTCTGAAGCAAAACCAAGAAATGTAAATGAATTGTGGAATGTTGTTAAAGAATCATGGAGTGGAATAACAGCTGAAAGGTGCCCAAGTTGACCCCTTTCAACTAATTGCCCAATTTCACAGCCTTAAGAGCGTGCATATCATGAATGCTGGGTCTTGTTTGCTTTCTGAGAATCTACTGCACCTACTGGTAACTTGTTTGCCATGTAGCAATAAAAAATATACTAAAAACCTGGATTATTCTGGTTAGTCACATTGTACTGCTATTATTTTGAACAATACTGTACAATTTTATTTAACTGAATTAATGCCAGACTGTAACACACTCACCTTGCCACTGACACCACGAGGTCATCTGGTCCCATGACTACCACTTGTCCAGCCGGCAGCTCTGCCTGGAGGGAGTGGACAGAGGAGCCCTCAGGTGGAGATGGATAGGAGTAATTGATCCTCTGTCGAAGCCCATCAGCATGACTCTTACTTTAGCAAGAGCAAAGAAAAGAGTAGCAGGGAGTCCATAGAAATGTCTATTAAATGTCAGTTAGTAGTCATTCATGACATTAAATTGATAGGCTATTTTATATTAGCAGCTGAATTTAAGAACCAACAACAACAAAAAAAAACAAAAACAAAAAATGCTGAAAGTTTATGCAACTATTTATCAACAAATCATTTGTCATTTTTTTAAGAAAAATGTAGCCAAAGATTCCACAGTTCCAGCTCCTCCAGTGTGAGGATTTCTTAAACTGAATGTTAGCTGGATTAGACTGTTAGCTGGATTAATACTATACATTTTGAGACAGTCCCTTGGTGACTGGGAATCCTCTTCACTTTGTGACATTTCATAAACAAAGCAGATGAAAATCTTTCCTTGCAGCTTTAATTCCTTGGTGTAGTTTACCTCAGCATGTCTGAGAGCTGCTCAGTCACTGAAGAGTTGTATTTAGAGTCACCCAAACCACTGGCCATAGCTAAAGCAGCTTTCAGGGCCTTTACAGAGAGAAACCAATATTCTAATGTAGAACTACCACCATTTCAACCAGGCCATATGATATTAAACAGTTTTATAAAAATGTGCAAGCACTGCAGTCCAGTACCTCAGTGATCCAATGGTGGGTTTGATTTTCTGTGTAATTATTCTCATTAAGATGGAAGCTCTCTAAAATGTTGACAGCTGATAGCAAAGCTGCCCCAGCAGACGGAGGAGGAGGAACTTGAATTAGAAATTCTAAGACAAAAGGTAGCATAGATTAATACGTACAGTATAATAAATACTTACACATTTATTCAGCCAAACAAAGATTAGTCTTTACCATTATACAGGCCTTCAACAGGTCGCTCTACTTCTATGCTGTAGTTACGGATGTCCTCTCTGCTCAGGACCCCTCCATTTACTCTCACCTTTGTATGAAACCACAGTAAAGGCTGTTAAACAACTGACTTTTGAACATCTTGCTTTTTTTTCTAAACCATAACAACACATTATACAATTGTACCATAAAATTAGATGTGTAAATGTCATTTACTTCATCCACTATCTCCTGTGATAAGTTCCCATCATAGAACTTTGACAGACCGGCCTCTAGGACTTCCGCCAGGCCAGGAGTCTTCAGAAAATCACCAGGCTGCAGAGCTCGGCCTCCTGGGAGGAACACGTCCCTGAAATGTTGCGATAGCTGCTCACCTTTTACCTTTGATATAGCCTCAGCTGTGGAAGAAAGGAAATGAGTCATATCCTGGTATATAATCACCAGATGACATCATCAGGTTATCTTGTGAGACAATATAAAGCGGGATGGTTTGACTCACCGAGACTGACAGACACATTGAAACCTTCTCTGGCTACAGCTGCGGCTCTGGTGACCACATCCTCCCATAGTAAACTGTAGTAATTTTGTGGTAAAACATGTTTGAGGTAGAATGTAAACTAACCACCAGAAACAAATGATTTCATCCATATTCTTTTACCTTCCATACAGATAGTGAGCATGGTGTAGCCCTCTGAGCATACCAGGCACTCCTACCTGTAGACCTGCCTGAAAATAGGTGTTCACATGCACAGTGAAATCAAAGCCGTTTCATGCTGCCCCTCCCCATCTTTACTTTACCTTAAGCTCCAACACGTTTTGCAGCATTTCCTCTGTGAGTGCTTTAGGTGCTATTCCTTGAAAATTTATCACCATAGTCTCATTCTCATGGATGTCATGAACCAGCATCACCCCACCTCTACAGAAAGAGAATATGAATTTCTGAGCAGATGCTTTTGTGTACATTTTATACAAAAGCATCAACTACAAGTCATCTACATACCCACCAATACCTGACACATGTGGATGTACAATGCCCAGACACAGGGCAGCAGCAATGGCTGCATCCACACTGTTTCCACAATCACGAAGGACCTTCTGGCCGAGTGCAGTGCAGTGCTCATGATCAGACACCAGAACACCTGTTTCAGGCACCTGAAAAGCAGCTGTTATGAGGATGCATAATGCAGTGATGGTTTAAGCACATGTGATACAGCATTACACACCAAAGTGTGCCCCAGGTAAAGATGCAGGATCAAGGCAAAGGTCACACCAAAGGCTAAGATGATTGGTATAGCACAGATAGCCCTGAGCAAATCCTGACTGGAGGGGTCCTCGTCCATCTCTTTGATACTGGGTGGGCACTGGTCGAGCAACACTGGGCTACCAGAGGCCAAATATTTCAACGGGATCTAGGGGAAAAAAAATATCATTTCCAGCTTTAGCAAAGTGTAAATGTGTTATGTTTACTAGCAAAGTGTCTTCAACCCTAGTCAACAGGGCCCAGACATGCCACTTTCTCCCTGGTTGTCTCAGATGATTTACACCTGTTGTGTTGCAAATTAGTACCATGGAATCTTGTGTGCTGAGAACTGCAAGCCATGACTTTACACTGTACCTGTATCCTCTCACCATAGTTTTGATTCAAGTCACAGATGACGCCACTGGGTAATGAGCTGTCAGCCAACTGAGATGAATCATTCAAGCTTTTGTAACTACATACTGACTGCTTGTTAAGTTTTGTTTTAGGAGAAACATCCATCCTTTAGCCACTATAGAAACAAATCAATTCAAGAACAGAACAGAACAGGCCCGTCTCTTGTACCGTATCATACCCCACAAACTGCGTTCTTCCCTCAGCGTAATATGTAATCAAGCACAGCAGGCGCAATTAACCTCCCCACCAATGAGATCTCAACATTTGCATTCGTCAAACTGTGAGCAGTTCAATGTCCTCTGGATATTATGATTTCACTAATAAACAAAGCACAAGTTGAAAAGTCACTATGTTTATTGCTGTATGAAAAGGCTTTATACCAAGCATGTTGATACACAAATTGCTTCATTTTGCTCCACAATGTTTGCAGATACATTTTCCATAGGCTGCTTTTGTCTCACCTACACGTAGAAATTCACATGCAAACAAACAAGAAAACAGCGTATCTCATTTCATGAGGCGAACATCTTCATCCCACACTGACAGACAGTGCAGCTTATAATGTGGCTGCCTCTATTTAGACCTCCTAGTAGTGTGGTGGATGCAATCCTCAAAGATCCCCCAGCTAAGATTTAGGTCTTATAGAAATGCTCTTTAAATGAAATATGCACAAATGGCCGTTTTTACGTTGTTAAAAATCCTAATATCTACTCATTCCCGCAAATAGATATGCAAGTTATTATTTGATGTAATTGTATCGATGCTCTGATTGATTGTAACCCTCTGAAACAGCGTCACACAGTGTTCATTAGCATAGAAAGGTCAGATATCATTAATCGGTTTCCTCCAGAAGATGGTGCAGTTACTCTGCTAAAAACGTTTAAGGCTCCGAGATTGATTAACTATCAGGGCGCAGTTTTATTAGAAGAAGTGTGACAGGTCTGATGATACAGTAAGTGCACGAAAATAACACTATAGCCACAACAAGATTTCTAAAAATTAAAATAGAGCCACATACTCTTGATTTCAATTTAGTAAAAAAAAATCAAGTTAAGCATATTCACGCGTTTGATGTTTGGGATCTCGTTCTCATTGATGAATACCCTATGACTGACCAGACACTGCTCAGAGACCCACAGACATGCAGATTAGGTCAATAGGAGACTTTGAATTTGTATAACACAGTGTTTGTGTTTCAATGCATCTTCTCATCATGTATTAGAAACAACACGTCAGTAAACGTGTTTAAAAACTGAATTAAACTATTCAACAAAAATAGCTAATTTTTTTTCATCTTATCAACGTGTCTGGGTAAATGGACCACTTCCACTGTGTGTGATTTAATTTGTGACACGTGGTCATCTACACACGGTAATTTAAGTGTCTTTGTGAAACTCCTTCGCCTTTTCTTGTCTGCAGGTCAACACCAGTGTAGAAACGATGAGAAACTGTTGTTTTTGTTGTTGTGAAGCGTGTGAGCATGAAGGCTTCTTCCTGCGTAATGATATGGGAAGCGGGGAGGGCCCTCGGGGCGAGCACACCCCTACAGCTTGTGTCAGAGTATTTCAGAACTGCGGCCAGCATTTAGTCATTCTGCATGAAAGCTACACGCGCACGATTGTCCACTGAAGTCCACTGTAACTTTTGGACTATAGGGGAATATTTTTCATTTTCCTACCGAAACGAGGACCGCGATTATTTAACTTCTTTAATCTCCGGTGAAACTGTGCGTCGTGACCACAGGATACTTTTACGCACAGTTTTTTAACACTCCCAGAGGACAATGCCTCGATCTTTCTTGGTCAAAAAGTACTTCGCTAAACAAAAGCCAAACTACAGTGAACTGGAATGTCAGAATGGTGAGTTAAGAAGTTTTATTCCTCGAACTACTTTGCGCAAAATAGAAAACCACCTGTTTTTAAGTGTGGTTTCTAATTTATAGTCAAATATAATAATAATTTAGAAATGTACTGTCTGCGCCTAGTTCAACAACACACCAGGCTACTCCCCTTTCAAGTTAGGGCCCGTTAGATGCACTTTCCCCCCTTTCTGCAACCAGACAGTGCTCCATTCATGTTAGAAGCCCTTGTGAATACGTGGGAGGAAACGGCCCATGAAACCTTCCCGTAGCTCTGGATTTATGCTCAGTAAATGTCCAGAAAAACAAGAATTTACAACCAAAACAAGTACAGACAGAATGTATATTTGGTTAAAACATATAAAACAGCAAATCTGCCGTCTGTTGTTCTGTAATTCAGTCGAATGTCTCTGAACCCTTGTATACTGTCCAACACTAGCTTAGTGTTTTAACCATCCTCATTTTTTTTCTCAGAGGCTTCATTAGAGAGGTATGCTCTTGCTGAGCTCTCCTCAGGGGACAACTCATCTGCTGCCACCTGTTTCACAACAGGTCTGGTGTGGGACCTCAGTGTCCTACCTGCCCTCTACCTGCCCACCTCCCAAACAGAGCCCTCTGCCCCCTCAGGACCCCTAGACCTCAGCTCCCCATCCAGCCTCAGCAGCAGTGCCAGCAGCAGCGGAGAGGAGGATGAAGGACGCACATCAGACCCCCCCAGCCCTGAACCCGTACACACATATGCCCCTCGCCAGCGGATGAAATGCACTGGCGTTATGGTTCATGTCAGTCCCCCAGGGGAAGAGGAGAGAGAGGCCCCTGTCACAGCAGCCAGACCAGCGTTCCTCTGCAAACACTGCCCCAAAGAGTACACAAGCCTGGGCGCTCTGAAGATGCACATCCGCTCACACACCCTGCCCTGTGTGTGTACCACCTGTGGAAAGGCTTTCTCCAGGCCTTGGCTTCTGCGTGGCCACATCCGCACACACACAGGTAAGATCCATGTTTAAAGAAATTCTCCCACATTACACATCTGCTAAATTTCTATTTGATTCCTGAGTGAAGAAATCCATGTATGTGTTGCAGTAACTGTAGATGAACATTGGAGTTGCAATCACTGTGAGTCGCAATCATTGTGAGTCACTAGGTCACTCGCTCATCATTTGTTAAGTGAGAGAGCAGGATATCCATGACAGTCAGTTTGTTGAGCGTAGCACTTGGTCAGCTCACATTATCACACAGGGAAACCCTATGTAGACCCTGCACTCATTGATCGCTCATTGTGTTTAATGTCCCAGCAACAATGACTCGTCAGCTAATTATCTTATCATGGCTGCTGGGGAAAAACAGAATACAGACAGAGGACAGACAAAAGGGTTTAAAGAATACCTCAAGGCTCTATGCTATCACTGAGCACCTTGTACCTGCAGCACCTTGTTATCATGTTAATCTCATTTGGCTCTGATTGAATCATGCTAATTCAGTCAGGCTGTGACCCCGCCAGCCTAGCATGTGCTTCTGCATTATCTTCAGAATGTCTGTGTGTGAGGTGTTAAAGCTCTTGTGAACTCAGACACACCTGACTGTTGTCACTGTGTAAGGACTTGCCATTGGAGTGCAGTGACGTGTGATTTTTGTTCTTTCCTGTCCAGGTGAGCGCCCATTCTCGTGCCCCCACTGCAACCGGGCATTCGCTGACCGCTCCAACCTGCGGGCTCATCTGCAGACCCATGCCGAGGTGAAGAAGTACCAGTGTGGTATCTGCTCTCGCACCTTTAGCCGCATGTCTTTGTTGCAGAAACACAGCTCCTCAGGGTGTTGTTCTACCACGGTGTGAGGCGTCATGGAAAGAGACAGAGGGACACAACTGGCCTGATGATGACCTGTAACACCACAAAGAGCATGAAATTCCTTGCTTTAAGAGACCTGGAGCGACTCGAGCCTCATTATGGATCTGACCTCTGTTGCATGAAAAAAATAGCTGAGGAGCAGATTTTCTCTTCCAGTCTAGATTGAAGTCTTGAGGCCGGACCAAATCTGAATTGAGCAATGCCAACACTCACTTGATAGCCACCCGTTGTTGCTATTGTGCCCATTCCAAAGACCAAATATGTCATGAACTCAATGGGGTAAGAGGTGTTCTTTCCTGTCTCTGTCCTGGTGCCGGCCAGCTCAGGATCATGGCCTAGACACAGCTGCTGAGAGGTAGGGGTGCGTGGGTGGAATAAATCTCTCAGCGTTCCTCAAAACACACACACTTATACACACACACACACACAAAAGCAAATGCACACACAGCTGTCCCTGGTACTGTGTTGTAGATAGACGAGGTGCTAACAGGTGCTACAGCCATGACCTTCACTGGTTGATAGCAGGTGCCTTCCACTGCCCTTGGTTTGCTTAAGACAAAAGAGGAAGCTTGTCATTACAAAAGAATGGCATCAGTTAGTCTCTTTTCACCCTCGGAGATTGTTTTAAGCCTCTATTTTGACTACATCCAAGCCTCTCTAATCTGATGAGTTTCAGAGATAGGAAAAGCCATTCTGTCTGTTATTTTACAAAGAAGCGTGACTTTGCAGCCCTGCTGCAATGTGGGTGACAATGCACTCAAGGTTACTGCAGTGTTAATAATACCAGCCAAAGCCATATTTTATAGCTTATATGAATTTGTGCCTTTAAATTGTGTTACTTTAAAAAAAATGAAATGTGCCTTTTTTACCTCAGTTTGTATTTGTGGCTTCATAAAAACAGTGATTGTAGTTTTAGTAGAAATTAGAACCAAACAGTCTGAAAATGAAAGATGGCTGGGACCAAAGATTTTCAAAGTTTACACCATGGCTGCCTAATATGTGATCAGAACCCTGTAAGTGGACATTACAAAGGCAAAAACCTTTAACTTTCCTAAACATTTTATGGCAGTGTTTTATAGTGCAATGTGCAAATGATGTGTTCCAATTTTGTATCATGCTTGTGTGTTCACTTCTATTTCTTGTAATGGTATAAGTGATAAACTTTCATTCAATAAAGTAATTTATGTTTATTAAAGCTTGCCCTGTCATTTGCATTAGTGAAAAACACTGGTGCGCATGTTTGGTACGCTGTGGAAATGGTCTCAGTTGGTATGTTTGTTATAAATGGATCTATCTGATTATTAACTGGGAGATTTCTATTCAGGTTCTTAACATTAGGCGTGGTTGAGTTGAAGTGCAGATGTGCAGGTGAACGCACTATGTGATGGACAGGAACAACTGAATGCACCTGCTTCCAGTTTCCACCTGCTATCTACTTCTCACTGTCACTGTGCAAACACTGCTGGAAATATGAATGTGTGTTTATGTAGTTAAAAGAGAACTGGAGTGAAAGTCAACTTCTGCTTTCACTCACTTCCAAGATTTAGCACAAATTGATGAGTGCTCACTGCAACTCCTGAGGTGATCTTCAGGTGATACTCTGAGCAAAGCCATGTCTGTGATTGCACTGAGTGTGTTTTTTTTTTTCTCCTCCTCAGGGAGAGTATAACATTCTCCTCTTCCTCCGCCTAGACAGTGAGTCAGATTCTGTCCAGACTGGAGCTTTAGGTTCCCATGGTTCCTCTGCTCTCAGTCAGTCAAGCCACTAGTCAGTCAGTCAGTTAGCGGGTGTGCGTGGGCTGAGGCCTAGCCAGGCCAGTACAGAGTGAGGTAAACTGTTCCACAGCACAATTCCTTATTTTCTTCTGAGTCAGGGAAATGTGCTTACAGCTACCACGACCACTGTAGCATGTAGCAGTGATTCACCTCATACACGCTGCACTTCAAACAAACTTGCTTATACAGATTTTCAAACATCTGTGTGTGAGCACCAGCCTAGTCAAATATGAGACCAAAATAAAATTGTGGTTCCTTTTGGCCATTATGTTCTCGTGGACTTACCCAGGATACCCTTGGGTAAAAGGGTTATTAAAATCTCAGCTGTTGGACATTAGCTCAGAACTGTTTTGATGATGTCAGCCTTGTACTGTATGTCCTGAGGTGAGGGAGTTCGCTCTGCTAGGAAGGACACCTGAAACAAGTCCCATGTTTAAACTGTACTCTCATGCCGTTTGACTTTTCTGGTGTTAAAAAGTGTAGTTTGTGTAATTTCTCTCATTAACATATTGTTGTAGGCTACAAAGATGAGATGCATCCTTTCCAGAACGAGAGGCTTTTTAGTTTCTGTAGATTACCATTTCAGCACATCTTGCCGCCTTTTAATGTCTCACCAGGTGACGTTGCCACAGAAGCTGCACAGCCACATTTTGCTAGTACAAACTCATACAGTTCAAATCTTTGCTGCATCACACGTTGCTATACTTATTTCTGCCTTTTTATAGAGAAATGAAAACACAACATACTCCCCTTCTTGTTCCTTGGAGAGAATGGAAAGCCTGGATTTGAAATCTGAGAGCGTTTTCCTGCTGTGTGCTTTACAGTGCCAGAGCACTCACTGTAATTTACCAAAAGTGGCTGCTATTTATGCCATAAAGCATGTGTTTAACATTCCTGAACCCCACTGTGTTTGTGTATTCCTTGCTCTCTCACTCGCTCACTCTCTCCCCCTCACTTTGTGCCTGCCTCTACGGCTCTGTTTCTATTTATGTGTGTGTATGTGTGTGTGTGTGTGTGTGTGTGTGTGTCTAGTGTGTGGAAATGGTCCCTACAGAGCAGCAGCCCTTTCCTTCTTCACAGAAGGATCATCTCTCCCCCTCTGAGACGAGGCCGAGAGGAAGTGGGAGTTTACATTGGCCTACTTTACCCCAAAAAGCAGCCCTGGGTCGAGAAGTTGCAGACCTCAAGTGTTGTTTCTGCTGCTGCCACTGTTGCACTTTGCCACTGTCATCAGCATGTCCCATCCCCCCATCAGCTGTCCCACCCAGTGCTGCTCTTTAAGGCCAAGTTTTCAAGGTGGAGCTGAGGGCCAGGACTAAATAGTGGCCTTCGGTGCAGCAGCAGTTTGGTCTCATGGCCTGGGAGACAGGAAGTAGCTGTCAGCATCTCATAAACAGGACTCATCCTGCCTTCATGACACACTAGACCTGGAGCAAACTCTCCCAGGAAAAACCCTCAGTCACTCTACCTCCCGACTCTGCTTCAGTCTCGTGCAGGTCAAAATAAACCAAAGCATAGACATTGAATATGCACAGGCTGACTTTCACACTGGTGACTCTCATCTGAAAGCCAGTAGTCATTCTACTGATACATTTACAGTCACGTGACAGTAGGATGATGTCAGCAGTGGATAATCCACATAAAGCATGTTCACATCATGTTCATGTTACTTTGGATTTGTGATGTATAAAATATAACAGTAAGATCAAGGTGAAAAGGCAGCCAGAGACAGGGCAGATGTAGTTGCAGCTATTGGTCTGTACTCCTCAAGTACTTCTCACCTTATGTATTACTCCCTTGGCCTCCCCCACCAACATTAGCACCTCTCACTGTCTGTTACCTTGCTCAAGAGCACTTAATTATTCTGTGCTGTTTCAGTCTTAATAACATTCGCTGTCTGAGTTTGGTGGGAGGTTTTGTCTCTGGAAGATCCTCTGGTTTGTTGTTGTCTCTCCCTGGCATGCTGTGAAGTTCAAAGTACTAATGTAAATGTCAGAATGCAGAGCTAATTTCTCTTGCTGAGCTGCAAACAGACAAGAGACACAACTGCTGCATCTGGTGAATAAAGAAGGCCAATAGCAGTAACACCACAAGTATGCCTAATGATGGATTTGATCGAATGATCAGGAGGTAGAGCGGGTTGTTTCCTAACCAGAGGATTAGCGGTTCGATTCCTGGCTGGTCCAGTCAACATGTCGAGCAAGACACAGTTGCTCCCGGTGATGTCACCGGTGTGTGAGTGCTTGGGAGTGCGAATGGGTGAATGGCCGAATAATGTGAAAGCGCTTTGAGTGTGCTGTAAAAAGCATAGAAAGGCGCTATACAAGTATAAGACCATTTAGCATCAGGCCATGGAGGTGCCCTAAGGCTGGATTGGAGAAGTGGTTGGGTGGGTTAGAGGATGGGGGTAGTGGGTGCATATTAAAGAGTAATGAATCACACACTCAGTCACAGGGTCGCCAGCTATGAATGTGCTCTCTGTTGGTTTTCCTGGAGCCTGGAGTTTACTAACTGATGACGCAGGCTGGATTTGATCGGAGACATGTGTTACTGTGAACTGCCAGTGAGAAGCATAACGAGAGAGAGGAGAAGGGGGAGAGGTAGAAGGATGGATGGCGCCTGAGCTCTCTGGTTTTCCTCTGTGTTTCCTTCTGGGCATTGCTTCACACTGAGGCTGATGAGATTGGAAAGGAGAGAGAGAGGGAGAAAATAAACCTGACTTCTACCCTGGGACAGGAAACAAGAGATACTCAGAGACTATCCTGACCCAGCTTTCTGTCATTACTCCCAAATTCTTGTGTGGCATCTCAGCTTGCTGAGCAGCACTCAGTACACAAAAGGTACTAAAACTAAATTTAGTTCTGACCTTAACAAAATGAACAATAAAAGCAATGTGACTTCTTAAACATGCTATGCTGTATTCAGGCTCAGTAGTGATTTGATCTAAATGCTGACATAAGCATGCTAACATGATGATGTTTAGAAGGTGTCTTAGTTTTTACCATTTTAGTTAGCATGTTAGCATGTCAGCCCAAACAATCAGTGGTAGCCAGCTTCTTACTACTGATGACATTGCATGCTCTTGCTGCCTTAATAGAGCAAAATGTATAAAGATTTGTCACATCCAGGAAATCATTTGTTTGAATTACAGCCAGTGAGCAGGCACCACAGAGCTATCAAAGCACACCCTTGTCCCAGTATGATAAACTCACTCCATTATAACAATTGCTAATA